AAGAAGGACACGGAGTCCTGACATGGAACCCTGACATGGAATCCTGGCCTAACCACCAGAGCCTGGAAACATAGAAAAAGGAGTGTCTGATTAACTTTCTCCTTTCCCCTTATCCTTAGGGGGAAAAAACTTAGAAGCTACCACCCACCCACCTCCAACCTTTTCCACTGTGTCCCTGCCAAGAAAGAAAGAAATGAACTAAAACTTAACTTAAAAATGTGTTTATATCAGGGCTGAGATGACTCAGTGGCTAAAATGCTTGCTTGTGTAGGCATAAGACCCAGGTTCATATTCCCAGCAGCCACATAAAAGTGATGGCCATGGTTGAGAGTATCTGTAACTCACTGGGTGGGGTAGCAGAGGTAGAGGGGATCATGGGGCATGCTGGCTAGTCAATCTAGCAAAAAAAAAAAAAAAAGCCATACTCTAGGTTCAGTGAATAACCTGTCTCAAAAGGTTAAGGTGGGGTAAGAGATTGAGACAGACATCTTGACATCAAAATCTCCACATGTACCTGGATAACTACACACACACCCCACACACATATGCACACCCACACTCATACAACACACACACACACAGACACACTCATAAAATACACATGTGTACACACACATGCATACAGCACACATACATGCACACCCACACTCATACAACACACACATACACTGTCATGCAACACACAGACACACACACACACAGTTGTCAACCTCTCACAGCTTGCTAGTCAAGATACCTTGCAAGACGGCCCCACAAACTCTGACTGAATGACACCCGTTCCTTTCTTATTCTGTGCCTCTGGAGCCCACGTGGAAAGGCAGTCTTGGCTGGCAGCCAGCCTCCTCTGCCAACTCAGAGGTGGAAATGCTCAGTCTGGAGACGGGTTGAGGGTCCCCGAGGCAGGCTGACACTCTTAGCGGAGCCGTGTCTAATGCTGAGCAGGCTGTGACCAACACACCCCACAGCACGTGGGGTGCTGCTGCAGGAGGTGGGCTTCCTGCTAAGTAGGGAAAGGCTCAGAGGGAGGCCCCACACGCTAGGGAAAGGCTCAGAGGGAGGCCCCACACGCTGGCTGCTTCTGTCTCTGTGCCTGGGCCCTGCAGGCTCTGAACACGAACAGGTGTTCATGGACTCGTCTGTAAGCAAACTGGGCTTAGGTCAGTTTGCACACAGGACCACAGGAGCATGCACCCGGGGACATTTCAGTGCCTCTGGTAGCTAACCTCTGCTTTCCTGGGGACATTCCTGGGGAGAGGAGGAAAGGGGGAGAGGGGAGGGGGAGAGGGGAGGAGGGAAGGGGGAGGGAGGGAGAGGGGAAGAGGGGGGAGGGGAAGAGGGGAGAGAGAGTGAGGGAGGGGCAAGGCCCTCCTTTTAAAAGGGAACAGTGAATGTGCACAGGTGGTGCTCTCAGTGGCTGCAGCTAAGGATGTATCCTGTCAGGGTCCCTCGGGCAGGCCAGTGCCAATGCCTGAATACTAACACCTGGTCCATATGTGGGTCCTTGGGTGCTGGCTCTAACTCCTGCCAGCATCACCACTGTCATACCCCTGACCCTGACCCACACACTGATTTCCGGTTCCACCTGTAGGCGTCTGTGACGTGGGTGGCATCGCAGAGCACTTCCAATGTAGCCCAGAGCCTCATGCACTGTGGGTCAGCGTCCCATCGCCAGGCTGGACATCCGGTTCACTTAGCTGACAGAAACAGCTCAAGAGAGGACTGACTGGGTCTTATGACTTCAGTCCAACACAGGGGTGGGAAGTATGGCCAGGAAAGAGGCTGTCTATTACAGGGACGGCCAGCAATGGATCTCCCGACACGTCGGCCAGAAGCAGCAGAGAGTGTGGCGGAAAATGCTCAATCCCAGTGACCCGCGTCCGCCTGCCAGCCACCCCTTACGTTCTTTGGTGTTTATCTAAAAGGGTACTTACAAAACTTACCTTCTTCCTCTTTGCACAGCTTCAGGGTTAGCTTGAACTACAGGACACCCGGGTTTCCCTGGGATCCATCATTTCTCCAGCCTGCAGGCCTCTGCTTCCAAGGGGACACAGCACCTGCCCTCTGAGGCCAGCTGTTTGGGATCTGGCTCTCACGGGCTGGTGAGCCAGGCATCAGCCACACAGAGGGGAACAGAAGCATGCTACCTGGGACCTTCCAAATTGCAACAAGGGTATCTGACAAGAGAAGGTGGTGTGGTGTGGTGTGCTGTGGTGTGTGTGTGTGTGTGTGTGTGTGTGTGTGTGTGTGTGTGTGTGCGTGCCATGGCATGGCATAACACAGTAGTCTTGACTGAGATCTGGGAACTGCACCCAGTGCAAAGTCCCAAAGATCATGGATGACATGTCTTGCCAGCAGGAGGGGATCATGCCAGGGTCACATCAAAGGAGAGGCAGAGACAATGAGGAGAGGAGGGGTACATCAGCCCCGGAGAAAGCCTGGGGAACCCAATTAGCATAGACCCAGACCTGAGCCTTGACCATTAGTTCAAGATGACTGAAGCCTGACTTACGCCAGAGAGTCAGTACTGCCATGTTATCTCAAATGGTCCAGTTGCTCGGGCTAGTCCCTGGGCTTGCTAGTAACCCATGGGCAGAGGATGGGGGGGTGGGGGGAATGACTGTGGGGGTATCTAACTAAAAACACCTGTTAGGATCGAATCTAACGGCCATGGCTTGTTTTTATTATTGCACTCACAATTCAGTCTTGAAAGGGGGGGGGGGGGCTGAGCGATTATCCAAGTGAATTTGTACATTATACAAAGAATGCAGGTGTGCCCCAGCTCTGCACCGCAAAACCAAATCACTCATCCCTCCCCCAGAACCATGTGGCCGCGCCCGAGCCGCCAGCGCCCGAGCTTTGCTGTCTTTAGTCCTAAGGAGATGCAGGCCATCTGTGGCCTTTCCCAAGCTGCTGCAGGATGACTGATGTCTGGACCCCTCTCAACCCCAGTAATGAGGGGTGTCTGAAGCTTTGGTAATCGTATCCTACTGAGTTCACAGAGCATTGCCAAGATATCCACAGCACAGGGGTTTGTTTGGCAAGCTCACCGAATCATAGCGAAGGGATTACAAAGTGCAAACCGGGTCCCGGAACTGCTAATATGTGAAGCAGCTCTATACCACGCAGCCAATTTAAAAACCGACTCCGGCTGAGAAAGGGGCCTGGGCCTGCCTGCGGCTCCTAGCAGGTGGCCTGAGTTACATGCCCTGTACCACTTCACCTTGGTCCAGGTAGACAAGAGATGAACAGGGAAATGGATGGTCGACGCAGAAAACACAGTGTGTGGAGGAGAGGGGCGGGGAGGCTGCCCCAAGACTGAGGATTCCAGACCCGAGGTTTCCAGACGATTCCGGAGTGTTTAAGGCAGAACCCAAGACTAGATGAAGGGTCTCCAGAATGAGGAGCCAAGCTGGAACTGGGAGCTTTAGTGTGTGTGTGTGTGTGTGTGTGTGTGTGTGTGTGTGTGTGTGTGTATGCGTGCGTGCGCGCGCACGCACTCGTGTACATGTATTTGTGTGGGGGGGTGCACACATGCATCTATGTGTGCACAAAGCAGTCAGAGTACAAGTAACCTCAGGTGTCAGTCCTCAAGTCCCTTCCACGACTTTTTTGAGACAAGGTCTCCTGTTGTCCTGGAACCTCCCAAAGCAGGCTAGGCTAGCTGGCCAGTGAAACCCCAGGAATCTGCGTATCTCTGGCTGCCATGCCATTTTGCCATAGCTGGGATTCTAAGGGTGGGCTACCACACCTGGCTTTTTACACAGTTTCTAGTGACCGATCTCAGGTCCTCACGTTGATGAGGCAAGTGTGTTGGCCGCGGGACCATCTGTTTGGCCCTCCCTTGACACTTTGTAACAAGAAACTGCAGCTGTCCATGACTGATTTACCAATAATGATGACAAAATTTGGATTGACAATGGCTTGTTCATCACTCAACAAAAATCTTATGATCATGGCAATAATATGGGCTGACCAGCGGCCAGCGCGGAACTGGAATGAGACTCAGTGGCAACCTAGGCCAAGTAGGCTGAAGGGGAAAATCACAGAGGCCCCAGGATGAAAACCTTTGCTCTCTCTGTTGTAGAACTGTATGATGATGAGGGGGTGAGCTCCTACCTGTGCTATTCCCATCTGCTTGAGTTCTTGGACAAAGCAAATCTGTAAGGCAAACTCGTAAGATTCAGCTCGAGCTTCTTCTGGTGACTCCATCAGCAATGGAGTACAAACTAAGACAGACGCCATTCCTGTTTGCCTTGAGAGGCCAAGCTCATTTTATTACATACATTCTGCATCTAAGAACTAGTAACTTCATATTGTAAACATTAAGCATTACAGAGTTAAGATTCAAGGCCACATCATATCGTTGATTGTCTCCTTTGTGTGTGTGTGTGTGTGTGTGTGTGTGTGTGTGTGTGTGCGTGTGTGTGGTGTGTCTTTGGCTGGCCGAGGTCAACTCGTAGTGTATAAATGCATAAGTTATATAATTATTATATAAAAAAGAAAAAAAAAACCATTGACTTGTAGACTTCCTTCTGACGAACGCACAGCGTTCGCGACTCGCTAAGGAAAACTGGAGCCCACCTGCCCACAATGCCCTGCCTGGTCTCTGAGTCTGGTGACCACAAAGGTCACCACCTCTCGACTGCTTCCACGAAGGACAAAGCCTCCTCCGGATGCAGAGGTCTTTAACTTTTTTTTTTATATTAGACAGTTCCAGTTATGATTTTCTTTTCACAGAGACGTATTTTTTTTTCCGTTCTGAACACTGCTGCTCCCAGTCCTCTATAAAGCTGTGTCTTTTCTTACAACACTGACGGCATCAAACATCGCGCGACTCATCATGCTCTTTTGGTCCCAAGACGTCCTAAGTTCAGCTTTGATGGCTGGAGCAACTGCCTTCCATTCCTTTCCTCTCCTTCCTCCTCCTCTCCTTCTTCCTCCACTCCCCAGCCCCTCCTCTCCTCCTTCCTCCACTCTGCCCCCCCAACTCCTCCTCCTCTCCTTCTCCCCCTCCCCCTCCTTCAGCCTTTTTCCCCCTATAATCACATGCTCACACACTATGCACATCCCCCATCCACCACGTGGCTCACAGGTCCTGTAATCCTGAAAAGGAGATGAGACTTTATGTCATCTTCACAGTTTGACAGAGCTGGTGGCTCTCCATCAAATGGTAAGACTCTGACTTTAACCAAGACAGCAAATGCCAGCCAAGAAAATCCACACTGGTTTGTGGAGGGGCCCGCCACCGCCGTGCCTTTCTTGTCTTCTCATTTTGATATGTTTCTATTTTTTAAACACAGGTAGTTTCCCCTTCGCAGCGACATCCTAAACCGTACGCTAGGCGGAGGCGGCGTTACCGTTTTTCTCTACTGCTTTCACTGAATCCTGGTTTGGCGCACAAGCAAGGTCCCGCACTCTAAAGTTTTGTACACTACTTAAGGCCACTTTCTTAGGCAGTTGTCCTTATCAGGCCATGCTCTTCTACATACAATGTCTTTGACAAGGGTGGGCCACGGGTTATATGGCCATGTACGTTATATTTTCGAGCTTCCTCTATTTCTGTAGTAATACACTCGGGGTGACGCCCACCCCCCCCCTGCAAGTCTTTGGTTTTTCTGGCTTCCTTCCCCAGCTCCGGTCAACCCTCATTCATTCCTCATGAGGCACTTGCGATTCGTGTTCTCTGGGTTTGTTGGTGACCGCTAGGTGATGGTGCACTGTTGGGAAAGGCCTCCGTCTGGTCTCTAGTAGTAAGTGCCCAGGTGAGAGGCCATGTGGCTGGCGGGGAGCCTAGTGTTCGGGTAAATGCCCCCAGTCGGTGAATTCCAGTATGGGTTTGGGGCGGCAAAGAAACTAGAGGAGGTGACTGGGAGGGCTGGAGGGTGGGGGGCCACAAAGTTCATCTTCTGGGGGTGGGCGTGGTAGGAGCCCATGTACGGGAGGTCGGAGGGGTACTTGTACAGAGATGACTCGGGAGGGTGGGGCTGGAGGGCCTGCGCGATCCCGTGGAAGTCGAACTTGTAGGCGTAACGCTTCCCGTGCACTTTGGTCATGATGTTTTTGTCATAGTAGTAGCGGAGGGCGCGGCTGAGTTTGTCGTAGTTCATGTTGGGCTTGCTCTTACGCTCGCCCCAGCGCCGGGCCACCTCATCAGGGTCCGTCATCTTGAACTCCCCGTTGGTGCCTTCCCAGGTGATGCAGTTGGAGTTCGAGCTGTCAGACAGGAGCTCTAGCAGGAACTGCCACAGCTGAATCTGGCCACTGCCTAGTGACGGGGAGGGACACAATGCCGGTGAGAACCAAGCAAAAGAGAGTCGATCCTCAGCGGCGGACTTCCCGGACCTTGTCCGCTCCCAAACCCTTGCCCAGATCTCTCTCTCTCTCTCTCTCTCTCTCTCTCTCTCTCTCTCTCTCTGCTCCTGGGATGTTGCTGTTTTTATCTCTTCGCTGCTCACTTACCCCAGACAGCAAACCTTGGCTAGGCAGGCGCTGGTCCACACGCCCAGGTGTTCCAGGCCACACTGGTGAAGGAGAGACTACAGGACACACTAACTCTACTGCTTGTGACCCGTATCTCCTCAGGGGCCATGCTGGCACATGAGGGCTCCACTCCAAGGAGGTTGGGAGCTTTGCTCCTGAGAACGAACCCCTGAGGAACCATTCCTTGCATGTCCTTATCTCTGTCTCTAAGTCTATGAAACTTGTCCACCTACGGCAGTCCCTGACCGATACTCTCACGGTGGCCTCACAGATCTAAGTTTTCCACACAACATGGTAGGTTCCTCCCACTTGGGACATCTTTCAAAGAGCAGCCCGATCACGCCGGCTTCGGGAGGATTGAACCAGCTACTTTCCCCCCACTTTGTGAAGCAGAAAAGGCTGCGGATGGCAATAATGGTCTAACGCCATTTATACTGTCCAGGTCAAGTGAAACAACAAAAGTCAGGTTTAGGAAGCGAACATCTACAAGTCCGTGGAAAATCAAACAGAGAGAGGAAGTAAACACTGTTATTTCTAACCTGACATCTGGCTGGTGCTCAGAGACCAATTCTGTCAGAACTGTCGCTAGCACAGAATTAACCTGCTAAAAACGAGGAAGTTTAGAGAAAGAGCTGGCCCTGCTCCAAACCATATAACCCATATCCAGTCCTGGGCCAAATGCACCGCAACAGAAATCCATGTGCCACGTGAGCCACGCTGTGTGAAACAGTGCTTCTGAAAGACAGCAGGCTGCGGGCAGCACTCTTGGGAAGCAAAGAGAGCCTGGCTCAAAGAGCTCATTGTGTGTGCGCGAGTGTGTGTGTGTGTGTGAGTGTGTGTGTGTGTGTGTGCACGCCTGTGTGCTTGTATGCATGGTGTCTGTGTGCGTGGATATATGTGAGGGTGTGTATACACGTGTGTGTTCTTGTCCATGTGTGAGTATACATATGTGTGTTGGTTCATGTGTGTAGGTGTGGATACATGTGCTTACATATGGGTATGCAGAGGCAAGAAAAAGACCTTCTGTGGCTTGTCCTGGGTTTTTAAGACACTCTATTGTTAGCTTGGAGTGTACCTATTAGCCTAGGCTGCCCAGCCAGTGAGTCCCAAAGATCAACCTACCTGCATACCCTCACCACTGGGTTTTCACTGTTCATAAACACATGAGATTTTTTGGGGGTTTCCTTCCCTTTCCTTTTTGGAGTTCTGGAGTTCAAACTTGGTTCAGTTCTGGAGTTCAAACTCAGTTCAGTTCCTCATGTTTGCAGTGCAAACACTTGGCTGGCTGAACCCTGTCTCACTGACCTTCATGTATTTTCAGGCAGAGAAAAATCTAGGGATATCATTCTAACCACCATGCTACTTTGCTCCAGAGGAATCTCTGGGTGTGTCAAAGGGCCCAGTATGTCCTGCCCTCCTGCTTCCCTCCATTGCCGGGCTGTTCTGCTTTCTCCCTTGGCTGCCCACTTCTCCAGAGGGAAACCCTTGCCGGATACGAGCACAGCCACACCCAGATGCTCCAGGTCAGACTGACAGAGGGATACTATAGGATACTCTGGTTCTGTCTCCCGTCCGTGCCCCGTGGCTGTTTAGTGGAAGCTATGTTTTGTACTAGGAGAAACAAAATTAACAAGCACAGATTTTGGGTTTAAAAGTGAGTGGGAGGCAGATATTTCTTCCCAGCCTCCGGGCAGCAGCGCACTGTCTTGGGCTGGTTATCAGAAACACTATCTCTCATGATTTGATAAGTAATATGAATAGATGTGACCGATGATTAGAGTTACTTGGACCATCATCCTATCAAGGAATTGACGGAATGTGAAACTCAATTACAAATTCGCTTTCTCCGAAGCCTTCCCACCAGCACCCCCACCCCTCCACAACCTTGTCTCCACGTAGGCTCCATGGGAATGAGGATCAACCTGTGCAACAGCATCGTGAGAAAGGTCAGTTTCTCCTGACTATATTCCGGAAAGCGTTGTTTTCAGTCAGGCGACACATTTGAAATGTATTAACAGCTTGTAGCCTGTCGGAATGGAAGCCTGTGCTGTTTTGGAGCTACACGTACAAACTGTTCTCAATCTAGGGGCTGTTGCCTCCAACATCTCATTAATATGCATTGAAAATATAAAAGATGGAACTAGAGAACCATATGGTTTTAGTATATACATTGCAACCAAAAGGATTAAAACTTGAAGAAAAAAAAAAGAATTCCACGGATGACCTGGGAATAGGAGAAGCTGTGGGTTTTGGGTTTAACAGTCTTAACATATGCCTCACTCTAAACATGGACAGTTGCTGGAAAATAAATATTTAGCGTCAACTTCCTCCCATAGCAAGAGAGCCGCTCTGCAGATTTCTTACAAATACACAGACCAAATAACACTTGGTATCTGTTCAAACATTGGCATCGTCTTGGGGAATTTTTGTTCCTCACCCACTTCCCTTATGAGCATGTGTAGGAGGGCAGCAGTGGGGGAAAATAGTCTGTCTCCCTTGCTTCGGAAGGGCCAGAGAACACACAAGCTCTACATGCACGGTTAGGGGCTCAGAGCTCAGAGGACAGATGAGCTCATGTCACCCTAGGCTGTTCACTTTCAGCTAGAAAGACACAGGGCCCGGGGCTGAGGATGAGCCCGCCAAGCCTTCCCAAAAGGAGCCAGAGAAGCAAAACCCACTGGCCTCCCAACCCGACAAGGAAACTGGCTGCAAAAAATAAAATAAAATCAACAAATGCTTAGGCAACCCTATAAACAGCAGCAGCCCACCAAACCCTAAGTCAATTAGGCCCCACGTGTTCTCCCTGAACAAGAACTCTCAAGGATGCTATGGGGGGAGGAGGTAACTGAGAAATCATCACCAGGTAAATTAAACGAGCTACTGTCTGCCAAAGATTCTGCAGTAATTTATTAAGTTGCTATTACTGTCTGGACCGCGAAGGTCGCGGTGCGATTAGGTGTGCCGCGGAACATAGAGCACAGCTCCGGTAAGAAGTGTAAGGAGAGTTCAGGGAAACCTAAACGTGACTTGAGTCGCCCACTGGGCAAACCCACAAGAAAGACAAGGCTGGGGAGACGTCTCAGCGCTGAAGCACTGGCCATGGACATATGAGGACTGGGGTTCAGATGCCCAGGACCCATGTAGATACCAGCTAGGGACAGTCGCCTGTCTGTAATTCCAGCATCCTTCTCACGGCCGAGCAGAAAGCAGCCAAATGCACTTGGCCACTCAGGACTACAGACTGGCCAGGCAGGAGGAACATGAACTGTTGTTGTTCTCAGGGCACAACTTCATTCTGAAGTTCTCTGGGTGCCGGGCCCCAGCCCCTAGGAATCTCTGTGCATTGCTTGTCAGCTGATAACACAGGTGCATCCTGCTCTCTAGTCCTGGCTTACAGCCCCAGCCTTGCCCCACCGACATCAACATCTAGTACGAGGAAAACACAGACTCTTAAACACCTAGGTTTCTCCACTGTGCTGTAAGTTTGTATATAAGGCTGCTCACTCCTTGAAACACACACACACATGCGCATGCGCACACACATGTGTACACGCGCACACACACACACACACACACACACACGGATGCACGCATGCACACACATTCTCTTAGCACAAACGGCTGGACGTCTTGTCTTTCATTTAAATCTCCAGGCTTTTGCCCCACACACTAGACTTGCTTACATGCCACAAGTGGAGGGTCCGCCAAGATCGGGTGGCCACACCTGGGGACCAGGCACTACTATAGGCTCATAAGTGACAGCGTGTTTAATCCCTGTAAAGTCATGTTTAACCCACAGGAGAGCTGAGAAAGCAGGGCACACACAGGTAGACTGACCTTCATGCCCAGCATCAGCTGAGACCAAACTTGTGGCTGCTACTCTTTAAATATCCTACATAGATCAAGACTTTCTAGCCAGGAGTCTACAGAGGCCTCCACAGCCTCCTGGTCCTTCCTAGGCTGTTCACCCTTGGGCCTTGCCTGAATGTAACAGGTTCCCACTTCCTAGCAACCGACAAAACGTTTCTGAAATGGCTCTGTCCCTTTTCAAGGAGCTGTTTGCATCTGCATACCCACGGATTTGGGATGCCCGGTCAGAACTCAAGCAAAGTTCTTCCAGGGAAAGGAACTTGGACTCCGTCCTAGGAATTCTGTGCTCAGCAGTTCTGATGGAGCGTAAAGGGGTTGGTGGCTCATCCCTGATTCATGAGGTGGGGATGCCAGGACACGCCTCTCTCAGCAGGATAAATAGCATTCCAAGAACACATCAAATGCGTGTCTGGAACAGGAATGCTGGGATGTCCACACACTGATATCACCTTGTGCGTTCATATGCATGAAAAGAGATGACTCAGCTGTTGAAGGATTTGGCTCCTCCAACATCCATGTTAGGGCGGCTCACAGTCACCTTTAACTACAGTTCCAGGAGACCCAACACCCTCTTCTGGCTTCTGAGGGTGTCTTCACGCATGGGCACCATAAACGCCATATGCTTACGCTTTAAAAAAGTCGTATTGCATGGCAAAATCTTTCCATTGAAAATTGACAAAAAGATTCTGAAGAGGGATCCATGTGCTACTCAGAAAAAAGCGTGCTCCCTTCCTGCTTTATAGAATATTGTGTGTGTGTGTGTGTGTGCGTGTGTGTGTGAAGTCCAGTTAAACGTAGTTCTAAAGTGTCTTTATGTTATTTTGGAAGAACCATCTAAATTTAAGAATAGAGTATTGAAAGCCAGGTGGTGGCTCACACCTTTAATCCCAGCACTCAGGAGGCAGAGACAGGCGGATCTCTGTGAGTTCAAGGTCAGCCTGCTCTACAGAGCGAGTTCCAGGACAACTAGGACACAGAGAAATCCTTTCCTGAAGGAAAAATGAAAAAGAATAGAGTGCTGAAGTTCTCCACTGCTATAGTATCAGGTCTTTTGTGTTTTTTTTTTTTTTAGTGATTGTTATATGAAATTAGAGACTTCAATGATTGGTGCACAAGAGTTAACATTTGATGAACTGCTCATTGATTTATTAATATGTAGTATCCCCTTATTTTCCTCTAATTAGTTGTTTAAATTTGTCTGGTGTAAGGAGAGCTACAACTGCCTGCTTGTTTACATTGTCTGTGTACTTCACATTTTCTAATTGCTTTCCATCCTTTGATAGTAAGCTCTGAGGCATCCTTACTAGATAAGTGTGATTCTTAGAGAGGGCATAGAGTTGGTTCTTGTTTCTTAATTCAGTCCATTAGTCAGCATCCTTTTAGATGCGTTAAGATCATATACATTTAAGATAGACATGTGAAGGGGTGTGTTATTTCCTATAAATGTGTTGGGTGGTGTTCCATTTCTGCCGAAATCTGCCGGATTTCTCTTCCCAACACCACATTGGTATTGAGGATTTAATGAGAAGACTTAAAATTAAAAAAAAAAGAGATACTCAGATAAGAAGCACTTTTACTAAACAAAAGATGGGGGGCATTCTGGCATCAAAGGCCACATCCATGGGCTTAGAGCCTGGGGAAAGTATGAAGAGTGTGCAGGGAAGACTCCTTCCTTGTGAACCAACGGTATCTTTCAGTGTCTTGACTACCAACCAAAGGCTGGATCCTGCCATTGCGCAGGTTCGGCAGGCATGGCCTCAGCATAGGAAATGCAGTAGTTGACACTGGACACCAGGGCTGTGGACCTATGACGCCCCCGGGTATTGCTCATAGGCCTAGGGTGTGTTTCCATCTCCTGGCTCTAACTTGGCATCCTTGTCTAGAGAAAGCATCCCAAGCTGCAGCTCACAGAAGGAGAAAGGGTGGGGGGCACTTAGCTCAGGGACAAATCACTCCCTTTGGCTCCATTCTCTAAACAAGCTGAGCGGCCCCTTTGTGGGACGACAGGGACGTGATGGGCGTTTCATTTAGGCCGTGGGCGTGAGCGGAAAGGCTGGCGTGGTCTTGCCTAATGCAGCTTGCCACCGTCCTCGACCTCCTTGCCCTCCTCCCTCTTCTTGTTCTTATGCCTTGTCGTTCTCCCCCTCCTCCTCTCTCTCCTCCTCTCCCTCCTCCTCCTCCTCTCCCTCATTCTCTCCCTCAGGCTCATCCTCCAAACCTTAACAGCTGGCCAACTAAATCCAAGTGTTTCCTTTCTTACCCACAGCCCATGTTTCTCAAAGCTCCCCTCTTCCTTCAAGCTCGCCTTCCCCAAGTGTTGAGGAAGAAAACAAACTCAGACTTTAGAGACCCTTCGGGGGTCCAGACTGAGTCTCCTTCCTGTTGGTTGTGACATAGGGAAAGCTCTTAGACATCTCAGGGTCCCTGACTCTTCTCCTACAGGACGGAGATAACAATGTCCTGAGCCACGCAGACCCCGGAGGGGAACCACAGGTGTAAGCATCCCCCGTGAGGGCAAGGCAGGTACCCGGTGGAGCGGGAGCTGCCAGATTGCTGCTTCACAGCCTGCGGCGTTGGTGTTCGCAGAGCCTGGGCCTTCCGGGTGCGTCTTCTTTCTAATCTGTCCTAACAGTGCCGCCAGACCAGCCTCTCTGGAGCCGGAGTTGTGACCACCTCCAAACGCCCGCTATGCAAAAACTCTTCACGTGTACGCATGTGGTCACACGCGCATGCGTGTGAGCGAGCACAGGTGCAATGCCCTGATGCAAGTGTGGAGGTGAGAGAGAGCACGCTTGGGTGTCCATCCTGCCTTCCACCTCATTTGAGGCATCTGTGGTTCACCGCTGTGCATGGCAAGCGGACCCTGTGAGCTCCCGGGGGTTCTCCCGTCTCGGCTTCCCCTCTTGCAACAGGAGGACTAGAAACACCCGCTTTCATACATATCTGAGACACACACACACACACACACACACACACACACACACATATATATATAAAATATATATATATATATATATATATATATATATATAGAGAGAGAGAGAGAGAGAGAGAGAGAGAGAGAGTGTTCTGGGGATTCAAACTCAGCTCTCACCACTGCACAGTAAGCTCTTTGCCCACCCAGTGGTCTCCCCGACCTCACGGCCACTTATGCACTTATGGTCATTAGAACCGCTATGTGGAGGTCTGAAAGGTGCTGGGAAGTCCTGAGCACTAAGTGACTGGCCGCAATACGGATAATGGGCCGTGAGTCCGCAGGCTAGAGGGCCGTATTGTATCTACCTGTGCCCATCTCTTCCTAGGGGACAGCTCTCTGGGGCCAACTGTGTCTCGTCATCTCAGGGATGAACAGATACACAAACAAGGTACTGGGCCCCCAGTCTGTGCACTGGGCCAAAGCAGCGAAGAAAATGGCCCCCTCTGTTTGCAGGGCCGCTTAGAACATATTTACTGAATTAATCAACACAAGTCACAATTTCGTGGCAGACTCCGTTGTTCAATGGCGATGGTATTCCACGTTCTCAGAGTGTGGATTCTCCTGTGGGGATGTGTGCAAAGATGGTGTCTGCATTGTGTGTGTGTGTGTGTGTGTGTGTGTGTGTGTTGTTTGGCTCAGAAATCCCAGCCTGTGCTTGTAGTGTGGTTGTGACATCTTGGCAAAGAATTTACAGCTGTGAATACAAAGCAGATGATGCCATAGAACCTGGAGTCCGTGCCAGCACAGCTGGCTCTGATCCGAACACAAACAGACAGAACAAGCTCGTTGGCACCAAACTGTGAGCACAGGTGACAGTTCTCCGCCAGGGATCACGAGGGGGTCTGCTTTTCCCTGCATCTGAGTTCAGAAATTCATCCTCACAGATGACCGCAATTGGAATCTGATGGCTGTAAGATTATCTTTCTAAGATAACGGTTATTGTATCTGGTTGGTGACAGGCTGAATTATGTCTCCTAAAATTCACATATTAAAATCCGAATTTTGGTCGCTCTGAAAGCGACCTGTCTTAAGAGATAAAGATTTTGCAGAGGTTACCAAACAAACTGGGGTCACTGAAGAGTCCCTTACTCCAGAATGACTGGTGTCTTTTTTTTTAAAAGGAAGAGTCCCAGACTGAGATCTCCAAGTCTGATCTTCAGAACCTAGATTTTAAGAAGCCAAGGACTGTGGCGTGTGATGAGGCAGATACAGGCAGATCCCTGGGGCTCACTGGACAGCTGACCTAGCCTACCTGCAGAATCCCAGGCCGGTGAGAGGGCCTGTCTTAACCAACAAAAAGACAGATGATGTGATATTGTCTATGGATTGATACCCTGACACCCAAGATTATCCTCTAGTTTCTACATACACACGTACAGACTCACCCACATGGGCACACACAGACACACGCATGGTCCGGCATGGACTAAGAGCACAGAGAGGAAAGACAATAAAAAGAAACAGAGGAAGATAATGCCATCCAGAAGCCAGGATGAAAGGCAGGGACCTCATCCTTTCCTCACACTTCAGAAAGCCCCAGCCATCAGCCTCGGATTTCTAGCCTCCAGAGCTGTGCCAAGCCACTGATGTTATTAAGCCAAACACCGGGGCTTTGTTACTTTGTTGCAACAACCCTAGAGAAACGTTATGGATCCAATTAGGTTATAAGCCTCCTTGCTGAAGCTAAAATCTTAATTTATAACCTGATCCATTTTCCTTTTAACAAAGGCAAATAAAACAACAGTTCAGTGAGATGAGACGTGAAAACCAAGTTTCTCAACTGGAGGTTTCTCGCCAGTACAAGTTCTCTTTCAGGAACCGTCCCCAATTCCAAAGTAACCCGTAGAGCAGATCATCATACTCACCTGGATTAGCGAGGCGGCTACTGGTGGGTCCCAGAATCTGGTAGGGATCTATGACAGAAGAAAGTAAGTCAGACATGGTGGAGGCTTGGTATAACCAACAGAACTGTGTTTGCAGAGGTGAGAATGCTCCCTAGTCCCCCCTCCAAATTCCTGCCTCTACCTGCTACATGAGGTAAGATGTCACACCGGATCTCAGGAGAGATTCTTGCATCATAGTTATAGGAAAAACTTGAGGTCCCAGATTCCCACCACTAACCCATAGCGCTATCCGTGTTATCCCAGGACCTAAGTGGGGGCAATGCTGGGTCTGGGACCACAAGGGCCAGGTTGTTCAAGGTCAGCATTCTACCGAATTTTTACCTTGGAACTGGCAGACATAGGCACTGTGGCACACACCATGGAAAATCAAAGCAACAGATCCCGAGAGCAACGAGAGCCGTTTGCTCTCATTCAAAGTTTACACGCTTTAGAGATGCTTTTAGCAAAATCTCAGGGTTTTATTAAAATCCTTCCCAGTCCGAAACTAATGGTTCTAGACCCCATTTCACACACACGATAGTTATGAGGTTCATTTTAAAGGGGATACACGTTAGAGACTCCCAGCTGAGCCTGTAAAACCATTTTAGGGTTCCCAAGACAGTTTCTGGAACACACCTAACTGAGGACGCTGGTCTTCTGTCTTGGGCACTGTGGAAGGAGATGGCTGAGCAGCTGAAAAGGATAAAAAAGAAAGAAAGAAAGAAAGAAAGAAAGAAAGAAAGAAAGAAAGAAAGACAATTTTAGCCAAAACTCAGATCAGACTGCACATCTTCAATGGTTTTTACTTCCCAATCAACTAATTGCCAGCATAGATAGTAATGCTATTCTACAAGAAGCATTTGTGGTAAGAAGAAATCACCCCCTCTGATGAAATTAAATATAAACACTCTAAAATGCCTCCCATCATTTAAACAATCTACCGTAGCCATTCCTTCTAAACATAATGGAAAAGAAACTCCGAGCTGGCTTACAAAGGAGAATGAAATTAACTGCGGTGTGTAAAACAAACAGATACGGGGAAAGTGCCAGGGAGAGGCGGAGCCAAGCAGAGCCACAGCGAAGGGAAGCAGAGATTAGCTCATCGGTGTGCAGACATCCCTGGGAACCGCACTCGTCCACAGTGAGACACGCTGTCCCATTCACACTGAGGTCACATCTCAAGCAAAGAGTTGTGCTTAAGGATGGCACGTGTTTTGTGGCCAGTGCAAGAACCCCTCTGTACGTCGGAAAAGACCACAGGCCAACCACTGAAATCATAGTTTACCCTGGCTAGAGTCACCCCTGCCTTGTGACATGCAGCTCTGGGCAGTGGGGGCTGGACCTGTACCTTTGGACTGAGGGGTGGGGTGGCCATGGCCGGTCCAGGCTGTTCTCCTGGGAGGCTCATAAGGTAAATCTGTAAAAAAGAGATACATAGACTAAAAAAAAAAATAGCTACTTTTCATAACAGATTTGCTTCTTAGAATAAATACTGAATAAAAATTCAAATGTGATTAAAAAAATCAATGTAGGTTTTACCTATAAATTGCATTTTGCATATTTTATAGAGATGTATATTTTATTGATCTAAAATTCTCACTTACATTTAGCTGAAAGCTGTCATTGGTAGACTCTCTAGACCTTGCTTGGTGTGTGTGTGTATGTTTTACACATGTATTATATATGTACAGGTGCACACACATATAGAGACTAGAGACACAACCTTGGACTGTCTTCAAATGCCATTCACCTCATTTTTCGGAAGCGACTTTTGTCATTGGGGTGTTGGGGCTCATCTGGGGGGCTCACAGATTTAGCAAAACTGAAAAGGCACGTGTCACCAGGTGCAGATCTCCGTGTGGAAACGGGGATTAGCCAGGCCCCTGCTGCCCACCCTCCTAAAGCCTTTTCCTATGATGAGAAATCGAGAGCACAGGACTCTTATCTCTTCCACAGTCTGACGAGTCACAGGGCCCTTCAGAGTCTACACTTCGATCATCCTCGGAACCAGGGCCCATGGCTGGCACGAATCCATCCCTTACTCAGAGCCCACAGCTGGCACGAATCCATTGCTTCTTGCCTGGGATCACCCCAAATCCACCCAGCGGCGTCCGTGCTTCTGTTTTCTGCCCTCCTCTTGGAAAGGAGAACTGCTTTCCTGCCCTTCAGTTAGCTGCTTCCCTGCACGTCCCCACCCCCGACTTCCCCTTGATAATGTAACTCATTTGTGTTGTCAGTCTTAATTGGCTTAGTTGTTTTTCTAGGCAAAGGCCTCTTTTTCTTGTGCTTTTTTTTTTAAAAAGAGAATTTAATATCTCTCTAAGATGAATTGCATGAAACAAATTCAGGACCGAGATGGTCATCCTAACAACATATTAGCAATGACCCTGAGCATAAATAACGCGCCCATTATTCGTGTTTATGCACAATGTTGCCTGTACTGTGGACCTTTGTTACACATTTGCAGATTTAATAACTACAGTTCTTCATTCTCTGTGAAGGTTCTGTCACTAATTATCGAGCTTTAAAGTCATCTCAGTTTTCTCTCAGAGGTATATCCCAGAAGCATGGTGTGCCCCCCCCAACCCCCTTATTAACTGTGTGTATATGAGAGCTGCTTCTACCTGAAGCATCGCAGACCCATTTTTCAAAGCTGTGACCCAGGGGTGGTGGCTCGGGCCTGTGAGCCCAGCACTTGGGAAGAAGTAGAAGAGATGCAGCTAGCTCAGAGTCACATTCATCCTCAGTTACATAAATACTTGAGGCCAGCCTGGACTGCATGACATGCTGCCTCCGAACAAACTAGACCTGGGTGTGACGGCTCATGTACTATAATCCTGGCACTTGGGAGGGGCGGGGAGCTAAGGCAGGAGGACTTCTGTAAGCTCAAGATCACTCTAGGCTCTCTCTCTCAGAACAAATGAACTTGAAAACAAAACTTCCTTAGTTGGTGGGTCTGGGTTCAATGTTGAGCACCACTCTCTAGACCGCCTGAAAGCCACAGCGCCATACTCCAGTGGGCTTGCTTCTTTCCGCCAGAAGACAGGGCATGGCCGTGGAATTCTCACTCAGAGGGCAGAGTGGTGCAATTACTTTGGGTCTCTCTTTAAATAAATAATTTAAGCTCACTTAAAACTGCCAATCTGGCGGATCAGCTTTCAAAGAACCCCACTGCGTCTCGGAGTGTGAGCCCTTCCCTGTGTTCGTATCCCAAGGAGAACAACGTGAAACCCAACACAGAGAGGCCTTTAATTCAATCAGTCTGTTTGGCTGCAGGCATCGCAACTGGTGTGGTCTGTGAAATTCTACCCTCCCGGACTTCGGAGAGTTAGACAGTTTTCTCCTCTATTAAAACCCCGCAATTGCTCACTCTCCTCTTGGTGGGGGGGGGCAGCTTTTGCGTTCTGGGACCTTCAGCTTTTCTAGAGGCTGGGGGCAGCGTGTGGGAACGAGATCTGTAGCTGAAACCAATTATAGCTAGATTTCATTCTCACATCTCTGGAAACATTCTGAAAATAGATTCCCAACCTGTTGCAGTTTTCTTTCTAAGATGAAAGTTAAAGGCAGGGCACAGGGCAGAATTCAGTCAGATGGCTCAGTAGGCAAAGGTGCTTGATTCCCAGTCTTGCAATCTGACTTGGGATCCCCAGAATCTGTGCTGTCACAGACAATCAACCCGGCTACACTGTCGCCTGACTTCTACTTGTGGGCCATGTACACATCCCCACCCCAACACCTCAAGATAAATAAAACGTAATAACATTTATTTTTTAAAAAACTGCTTAGCCAGAGTTTTATGACGGAAACCATTCTGGGAATAAAGTCAGCGAGTGAGCTGCCCCACCTAGTTCGGAGGCAAATGGACAAAGGCCTAGGTACCAAATGAAAACGGCGGTATCACAGGATTGCTTCTCAAAGTGTGTTCCACGGCGCACCGACCAAAGACACGCTTGAGGCTTGCCCTGCGCTTACAGGGTGAAGCCAGCCAGAATCACGACAAGGTCCCCAGCCCACTCACACACAAACCGAAGTGTGCAACATCCACCCTAAGAATTCTTATAAAGCCCACTATCCTCAAAGACGATGAGTTCAAGAATGACAGCCAGACTATGCAGATGTGACTGCAACTGTATAACGAACAGCCCGGTGAGGACGGTTCTAGATGAGATGCCCGTGGAAGGACCAGAGAACCGTGAGTGTGTCAACTACACCCAAGAGAGCGCTGCTCGTGAAGGGTGACTGGGCGGGGGGGGGGGACTCACCATCACGATGGAATTAACATTTGGAAGCTCTTTATTCATAAAATCCTTTGAAAGATGAATAGCCAGGCCCCACCCTCCCCTGGAAATAACAACCACCAGGCTGAGTTTAATTTTCAGCCACGCATTTGAGATGTTTGCATGGACAAGCGGATTAACACGTCCACAAACAGACTGCGGTGGTAGATACGCTGGCCTTGTTTTCTTCCATGAGAGTCTATGCCAATATTTCCTTATCAGCTACTGGTCACACGCTGTGACATTAAGCCCCCTCCTGTGGGGCGTGACCTCGGGAAATGCTGACCTTGGGAATTTCTGGTGACCAGGAACCATCAGGGTGGCGGCAGAGCCAGCACCACATTTGTCTACCCCCAGACAGCTTGGAAGACCGCTACCCATGAGCCTTTGCTGCCCAGCCCAGCAGAAGAGCATAGGTTTTTTTTTAATAAAAATATACTATTTTACATTTAAATTTGGTGAGCAGTCTAATGCCCACTTTTTTTTTTTTGAGTTGTCTTCTTCAAAGTAACCACTAGCTCACACATTTGCGCACAGGAAATCACTTTCTGGCATTCAGTCTGCTATTGTAGCTCTTGAAGATCCTGAACCTTATTAAACCAATCTCACGGGCAGCTTGGGTGGCTGTGGAATCACGATGTATGCCATGATCCACGTGTAAACAACAGCATGGAGATGGGGGGGGGCAGCTTGTCTGGTGTAGACACCTACACATAGCAGCTTTGTGTGTTTTCACAGAGCTGGGACAGCTTTCTAACTCCAAGTGAGGCCCCTTTCCTAACACATTCCGGAACCATTCCGGAATCCTGCCTCCCTCCCCAGTGAGGGGTACGTTCTGAGTTGCATTCTTCATCCCCTCAGACCCCTGGAGGGGGCTTGCCATTGCCAGACCCTGTGGCCTCCACAGAGTCACTTTGCATTGTAAAGGACTTGGCTCTTGGAACGCTGCTCCTCATTCTGCAGAATCTCTACCATGTCTACAAGATGGTCTCTGGTGATCCCTTGGAGGGATGGAAGGGGATGGGAAGGGATGGCTGGGCCTCCTCTCATGCATTTGAAGCTGATGAGGAAGACGGACCCGTTACTGCCTAGAACCGATGGATAAAGCACCCCCAAAACAGAGGACCCCTTAGATTCAGCCTTCGGAGGATTAACTGCTTTGTCTTCCTCATCCAGATCTATCTAAATTCTTCTTCACCCCTATATCAGACACATAGGGACCACGTCTGTGGGCAATGACTGCGGGCTTCTAGCTGTGCTTTCAGATCTCTGTGGCCGCGCAGGCACTCGGGACAAGCAAAGGATGCTGTAAAGCCAACTGCTGGGGCCAGAGGATGACCTAGCACCTGACCGAGGGGTGCTAGCAGCAGCTGTGGGTTCACAGAGCTCAGTCACGCCCAGGAGCACCGCAGGGAGGGAACCTCCTTCCCGCAAGAGGCACCTGCTTCAAGTTCACACTCCACTCAGAGCTGTGTGTGGCGGTTGCACTCTCGCGCTTACTTCTGGTCACACCCTTGGGCATGCGTCCACTCCCTAGAGCTATCGTGGCCACGGAGGAGAAAAGGGACAGCATGCGTGACACCTCCCGCGTAACAGACCAGATTTGCCATGGCCAGCTCATGAAAGGACAGGCTACGTCATAAGGCCGCACTGCCTAACGAATTCTGTGGCTTAGTGCCTGTCTCTGATTGTGACACCTTTAACCTGAGACCTCATGGGTCTGTGGCTTCAAAAGAAGTAGACCTGGGGGGAGGGAAATCGTTTGTATGTAGAGGAGCCGGAGGAGAAGGGCTTCCAACGGCTGTAACCAGGGATGCCAATGGATGCCGCAAAAGAATGATCACCAAACCACAGGGCACACAAGGATGTGCCAGCATCCAAGCAGGGGACCAATCCAGATGCTTACTAAACGAAGATGAGTAGAAGAAGCTGTGTCCTGGGCCGATCTAGATCTATGGAGCGCAAAGTAACGAGCATGGAAGAGATGGCTGAGACATGAAGGAGGGAAGGATGGAGCCCACGGGTCACGGCCTGCGAGGTCCCTAGGCTGGACAGTCTGGCTTAACGCGACCCCAAGCTGATGCCGAAATGATGGCCACACAGTTCTTGAATAAATAATCTGTTGCAGAAGCTTGGTTATAAGGAAAGGGAAGAAGGGAAGGAGGGAGGAAGGGAGGGAGGGAGGACAGACTTGGGGTGGTAACTCCGAAGTAGGCACAGCTAGAGGTAGAAGGAACAGAGATCAGGTGGGAGGAAGCATTTGGCAGCAGGATTCAGGGGACAGTAAGTGTGGGTGTTAGCATCCTGAAAGAAGGATCAGAGTGTGCTATCTAATCTAAGCTCATGAAACACAGAAGTCTTTTAGGGTTTTTTGTTTTGCTTTGATATGGTTTTTTGTTTTGTTTTGTTCTGCATTTTCTTGCAGGGAGCCTGGCGAGACAGCTCTAGTACAGAGAAGGCTGGAAGAGAATCTAAATGGACTAAGGGCCTAGAAGCCTGGCTCGCTCTGGGGTGCCTGCCAGCTTCTGTCCCCAGTGCTGGATTGGAGAAATGTGTTGAATGTGGACACACAAGGGACAGGAACATGGGTCTCTGTCACCAGATCCTCAAGAAGCCCCCTTGCCCCACCCTGCAGAGGGCCCCTTTCTCTGTGTCACGCCGGGTGTGTTTCTCCATGGGCTGCTTCTGTCTGCTGCATTTGAGACTCCCCTTCTGCTTGCTACCTTTTCATTTTCATTTTAATTGGTTCAGAAAAGGAACCTAGACAGTAACATCACCACCCTACAAACAAAGGAGTGACAAGGGCCCCTTGTCCCGTCTCTCTCGCCAGCCAGCTTTACCGCGGTGGCTCGCAAACCCTGGTCTTGAAATCCATCCAGGGGCATTCCTGAGGTGGCTTTAAACAAAAAAAATTTTTTAAATTTGCCAATTAACCTTAAAGGCCAAATGTTCTGCAGGGAGCTTTTATTTATTTAGTTAGTTTTTAACTATAGGCAGAAGCATTTTTGTAAGATTCCCTGGAGTCATTCGTTTCCATTCAGACCCTCCTCCACTGTGTGTTCCACCAAGATGCCCTCGTAGGTGGCAAGCCAGGGAAAGTACACGCCTCTCTGCTCTTCGTTCTTACTGCTCTTGGTGGAGTTCTTCGGGGCCACCCGAGTTAACTGCATGCACCGGGTCTGGCCCATTACTTTATTGACCTCTAACACGGCAGGGGACTTTAGCTGGGCATGAAGGGGTTTCTGGGAACAGAGGCAAGCTTTTCTACCCCCAGGTCAGGGAAGAGAAAATCAGTAGCCTGACACCGCAGTGGCAGCTACAGACTGGTACCAAAGAGCTCCAGGAAGTGTCCCTGCTGCCACCATTCAAGGCAGCTGAGCCCTAGTCTGTCTCCCTCGAAAGAAAGAGCTCCCAAGTCTGGGGACCAGGTCAACTAGACTCATGAATGCTGGACATACGAAGAGTCACGGAGAAGCAGCCTGGGCTGGGGAAGACATGTATGCTGGACCCAGGTAGGAGTAGGGGAAATTCCCTCTGCTTCCTGCAACTGGGATCCCTTCAGTGTTCAGTCTGGCATGAGCAGTCACGGCCCCCGTGAGGTGTGTGTGTGAGGGTGTTTAGGAGTGATATATCCTCAGTTCACAGTGCCTCTCCCTGGCTTCCTGGTTGTGTTCATGCGGCCCTGACTCCTTCCACTGCCAGGCCCCCAGACTCCAGGCCTTAGTTGCCTTCTCTACAGCTTCATCTGAAACGCTGACAAGTTCTTGGCTGTCTCTGGTTCCAGGTAACACCACTGAGTTATCTTCTAGAACTCTGTGCTAAACCTTCCTGCCAGCGTACTGTAATTCCCCCTTGCAGGACCCAGACAAGGCACTCCACCAACCACAAGCCTGGAGGAATGTGCAAGCAGGCACTCTGGGGAAGCAGACGGTGTCTGGAGCCCGGTTCAGCTTTCCATTCCCAGGGGCTAACCATGCGATTGGCATTGGATACACATATATATATATTGCCGTGAACGATGTGTAAATTAGTGACCTAACTAAATCATCAGGAAAGACATAAGGCTTGACTCTGATGTGGAGGTTAAATGCCGAATGCTTCCCCTCTGAAAAAAAAATGGGCGAAGAGAATCAGTCGCTACTGATTCCGGAATTGCTTTTCCCTCAAATGGGACGGACCGCGTAATCATCCTTCCCTTGACTTGATAGCGCAAGGGGTTCCTGCCTTGGGTGTTGGCCCAGATATCCAGAGTGACTATGTAAGGCCCATTTCTGATCCAGACAGCTGGGCCTCTCTCTACTGTCGCCTCTGAATGCAGCAATGGGACTGAATTGGGTTGCGTATCGACAGGGACAGGGCAGAGGCTGACCACAGTGCACTGCATTTCGGGTCCAGGACGTGCTCCTGGGGTAACGGGGGTGTTAGCGTACCTGGCCTAGTTGTAATTCTTTGCGTAGCCTCGGGATATACTGAAGTATTTGGGAAAATAAAAGCTGCACCCCCTGCAGACAAAAGGAAAGACAAAGTGTGAAGATCCTTCGCGGTGACATCAGTGCCACCGGCCCCGCCCTGCTGCATCAGGGGAGGGCTTGCACGCCAGTAGAGTCCTTGGCAAACACAAGCCCTGGGTCAGACTCGGATCCTGAGTGTGCACACTTGTCTCCCACGTGACTGAAATGTCATGCTTTCTTTGTTATTCCCTTGTGAGCGTCTTGGTGGGGCCCTACTGTGTCCCACCAGCAACCTTACTTTATTAAAATGTATTGGATATTGGATATGGTTCCCAAAGTATCTTTTCTTTCTTTCTTTCTTTTTTTTTTTTTTGGCTTTTTGAGATGAGGGTTTCTCTGCGGCTTTGGAAGCTGCCCTGGACCTAGCTCTTGTAGACCAGGCTGGCCTCGAACTCACAGAGATCCACCTGCTTCCACCTCCCGAGCGCTGGGATTAAAGGCATGGGCCACCACTGCCTGGCGATTCACAAGATACCTTTACGGATCTCGGAAAGCAGACCTTGGGAAGAATTGTTCGTATGTTGCCTAGGATTCTACGGAGTGTATTCAGAATTATTCCACACCTCTATCCAGATACATGATTCTCCTTATTTTCCCCATCAGTGGTCATCTCCCCAGATGAGAGAATTTCCCCTTTGGCATTATGTCCTTCGGAAATTTATCATCCTGGTCTTCGAATAGCCCCTCATATAGCTATAGTTAAAAACTAGTGAACTCTGAACTTTGGTGGAATATTTAGTCACTGCCGAGGAATTTCTAAATGAGCATGTTACAAGAGTCCGTGTGTGGCTAAGTGGTGTTTCCTGGTTGGGGGGTGGTGGGGGTGGTGACTCTTTGCTAATTTTGGCCACAAGATCATTATCGGGTTGACCCGAGCGATGCAGAGCGAGAAGGGGGAACTTTTAGAAGCATGTCCTGTTACATTAAAAGAGTACTGTTTGGTTGCCGAAGACTAAGTACACATCAGTCATTTACTACAGATAACCAGCTGGGGCTCGGTTCATATGGGACTGGACACTTTAAAATAAAAGGAGACTATTTGGTAAGTTGCTGTCTTGCCTAGTCTAGGAGATCCACGTTAGGGCTGGCTGGCTGGCTTGCTTTGCTTGCCTGCTAAGAGACATAGGCTTCCTAGCTCTTGCTGCTTTCAGCCCCTGCTGGGTGCTAGCAGGGCGTGGCAGGGAGTGGTCCTAGGCTAACCCAGTAGGTGAGCAGCAAGTGGCCATGTATCCACCTACGGACACTGTCAGGAGGGGTGGGGGTAGATCTGTATACAGAACATGAGTGACATATTTATCCACAGAGAACCCCAGGCGTACTGAGAGCAGGACAGGGGGTTAGTCGGGATCAAGTGCCTCGCTAAGCCCTGCTAGGCTCAGGCGTGCGACAGACAGACTCAAGCGTAGAACCTGTAGTCAGAGAAGGGAAGGAAGGCACTGGACTGGGGCCAACTTTATGCTCTCCAAAGTTGCAGCAGAGTTTCCCTTGGCATAGAGGTTTGCAAAAAAAAAAAAAAAAGTATGAGGAACACTCCTCCCTCCCACCGCCCTCTGCAAACACACGAATCTGTGCAGAAGATTAAATCAAGGTAAGCCCAAGGGCCCCCAAACCGAGAGATACCAAGGAACTCTAGAAAACGCAGCTTTAGGGGTGAAGATGGGGAACAGACACATGGCAGCAGGACTGGAGGTTTGGGGCTAACGGTGCCACCTGTTGGGGGTTTGTACAATTGGTCCAAAAACAAAACAAACAGACAGACAGACAAAAAATCCTTTCACGGCTAAGGGGATTGTGGTGGAAAATAACGGGGAAGTGTTCAGACACCCAATGGCCCTCAACTTCCTTCACCTGTGCACCTGCCTTCTAACCTCTAGCCTCTAGCCTCTAACCTGTAACCTCTAGTCTCTAACCTCTAACCTCTAGCCTCTAACCTCTAGCCTCTAATCTCTATCCTCTAGCCTCTAACCTCTATCCTGTGGATTTCACTTGGAGGCACGCACCTGTAAACAGGAACCTATGCTTGTCTTGGGGTGGGAAAGGGCTAGGGTTACCTGTGTTCCTGGCATGCATTAAACGCGGAGAGTTCTGTAAAGCCTTATCGACATCATCGGAAGTCAGATGCGGAAGGGGAGCTACAAAACAAAAACGCAGAGCAACACCGAGATGAAAAATGGTAAAAAATGAACGGAACCAAAAGGAAAACACACCTCCCCCACCCCGCCCGGGGGGGGGGGGTGCCAGACCAATCTAAACCCTCTTTTGGCACCGGTTAATGTGTCAAATGCTAAAAGGGATGACTCCATACGGGCGGGGCTAGAAGGGCGTGGGGCATGAAGCAGAGCGGCCAAGGGAGGCGCTCTACCCGCTGCTTGCTCTCGGGATCCTTCTGGACCACGTTCAGAGCTGCCAACCCTAGACATGCCCCTCCACCGACCAGCGTGCCACCCATTCTCTCAGTGGGAAGTGGGGAAAAAAAACCCTCCCCTTCTGTGTGTTCAGGTTGGGCGGAGGCAGGGGCTCCGCACAGTTCCAAGGAAGGTGGCAACCCACAGTCCCATCCAGGAGGGGCCCTTTCTGCCTTCCAGTTTGGAAGGGTCACAGAAACTACTGAGCAAGCCTGAGGCCACTTCCATTTCCCTAGCAGCATTGGGAACGCAGCAGGAGGGAGAGTGTTGCTGTCTCCAGAAGAGACTGCACTCTTCGTCTACATCATGAAACCCAAAGCCCTACCGCGTGGTCCTCAGAGCATGAGACAAGAGGATCCCGGGGACGGCCCTGTCTGACCCTACTGGGGTTGGGCCTGCAACCACAGCCAGAAGCCTGGCTACCAAGGGCGGGCGGCTTACTCTCTCTGAGGTAGTGGAGGTGTGAGAGAAGGATGTCGGCATTGTAGCTCGGAGTGAGCCTCTGGAAGTCATCTTTGGTCATTTTGCAGAGCTCCTTCCCGTCAATGTTCTGAAACAATAAGACGTCCACGTCTAGAAGGCCGTATTCCTTCACCGCCCATTCCAACCACTGCCGGACATGGTCTGTGCTCCACAGAGTAGGATCTGGAAGGGAAGGAAGACAGACTGGGTAGACTCCTGATGGCAAATCTCCAAGCAGAGAGTGTACCCCAGTGGGTAGCACACCAGCCATGGGCCTTAGAGCAGCCTCCCTCCTCCACAGCTCCAGAATCACACAGGCTGGGGCCAAGCTCAGTAAGTCACAGAAAAGAGGAACAGCATCCCAGGGAGTGACAAAAGAAAAGGGAGCCACACCCAGAGATCTCCACCATCAAAGGGAAGCATCCTCGGAGTTGAGGAGAACTTGATCTGCCTCTGCTGTGGCTCATACAGTTTTTCTTTTTCTTCTCAGTTATCTTCGCTTTTATTTATTCATTTAAGAAAAATGAACTGAAAGACCCCGAATTTATAGAAATAAAATATAAGCTTAAACAGGGAGGGCACCCCACTAGAGAACTTGGGAAGTGAACAAACCATCCCAGGAACTGGCCAAACCACAGAATGGAATGTATGGTTTAGCAACCTTAATTGCAGAAGGGCTGTAAACCCACAAAAGGCCAAATTCTGGGCTGCTGACCACCTGTGATGAACTGACCAGGGCGTCAGAGATGGGCAAACAAGATTTGTGGGAAACAAGGAGATGATAACCACCATTTACTTAGGGAGAGATGATTAATTCATACCAAGGTTTGAGGAATTTACAACATGTAGGTCAGGAAGACATCTACTTCCCCTGGTCAGTAGTCACGTACCCCCCTCCTCCCCTCACAAGATAGGGACCCCTCCCAAAGGCTTGTGGTTTTTGTCTTTAAAAGCTGATTGTAACTGAACCTCGGGGCCAATCGGTCTAAAAGCTGACCGAGAGGCCCATCTGCAGATGCCTAATTAAAGCCTCTTGCGTGTTGCATCAATTGGCGCGTGGACTCTTGATTCTTGGGGTGACGAATCCAGCTTGGGGACCCCTCCTAAATTCGGGGTACCCCAACAGAACAAGACTGAAAGACATCCCTTGAAAGATTGCTGCAGCGTTTATGTAAAAGACAGAGTCGTAAACCATTGTTAAGAGAGTGCTAATTACAGATTACAAAAGCAAATATAAAATAGGGGTCCGGGAGGCAGCTCAGCCTGGAAAGTGTCTGCTGCTTTGCAAGCACGAGGACCTGAGTTCAAGAAGTCCCAGAACCTACTTAAGAAATAAAGGTGGGTGTGGTGGTGTTCAATTGGAAGTGCAGAGTCCTGGAGGCAGAGACAGGCAGATCCCTGAGGCCAGGAGCCTTGGATGAGTTCCAGAAGTCGTCTGGCCTCCGCGCGCGCGCGCGCGCGCGCGCACACACACACACACACACACACACACACACACACACACACACAGACCATCAAGGATAAAAATGATGACCACGCTTGTGCAAACTACTAACCAGGGGATGTGAGACAAAGCACACGGGACTCAAAACCCTCTCACAGCTAAGGTGTGGCAGGTTTTTTTTTTTTCCTCAAAGAGGTGGGCAATGGGAAAAGGGCCCAGAGAGAGATGAAGGAGAGGAATTCAAATGGGAGGCATGAAGATGGGAGGGGAGAGGTGGATGGATGAGGACTGGAGGTAGGAGTGTAGATGGAGGATGGAGCTGAGGAGTCGGGATTAGGAGTGGAAATAGAAGTTGGGGTCAGATGGAGAAGAGCCCTTGGCAAGGTCAATTTCAGAGTCACTGGGAATTTCTGAGGCGTGGAAAGGTGTCTTTGATTACTGCAAGCAAGCACAGAGCATTCAGTGATGAAAAAGCGAGACTCTCCTGGGAGTCAGCGCATGCATCTTTTTTTTTTTTGGACTCTGAACCCCACTCCCCACCCCCCAGTTACAGGGTGTAAACATTGCCGTCTCTGGAGTTAGTCTTATTTTCCTATGGCTAATTAAATGGGCCGTTGCAGGGGGGTGGGGTGGGGTTTAAAAACTCAATGAGATAATGTGTGTGGAAACACTGGGCCAACAGCAACAAACTGCAGAGAAGGAAAGAGGAGGGTTTGCGCAGTCAACCCTGCTAAAACGAGACAATCAGTTTCACTTCCAGGGCTGCCTCTTCCTTTGCACACAAAGGCTTGATTTATCTCTTATTTTAAGAGCCTTCTGGAGGTGCTTCTGTTGAGTGAGTCATAAGCCAGCGAAGATAAGACACTGCGTGTTCAGCCTCCTCCTGGGAAGCCGGACTGTTTCGGAAACAGCCACGTCCACATCACCATGGTTCCAAGGACAGCAAAGAGAGCCAGGACCCACATCGCAGCACAGAAGGGTCAGAGATCCTCCCGCCTTCCCTGTATCTTGTTGTCACGTGATCGATAGTCCACAGGTTTACGAACTCTTATGTTAATCAACTGGATCTTAAAACTTGCAAGCACACCATCAAATAGTTCCCAGTTAAGTTATTCTTAGTGGCTACGTGTGGAAGAGACCCCTGGGAGTTGTCATAAAGGCTTTCCGTGTCTGCGGAGATGATTCCTCGGGTAAAGGCTCTGGCTGACAACCTGAGTTTGGTTCCCGGGACCCACACGGTGATGAGAGAGAAATGACTCATCCAAGTTGTCCTCTGACCCTTCACACACCAGCCATGGAGACCCCCCCCATCTGCCTCTACGGTAAATGGATTAACATGCATTAAAAAAAAAGAATAAGAAAATCCATCTTCCAGTGCCACGAAATAAAATTCTGATCCAGTTTGAGTCCATCAGCTGCTAGGAAACTATTAATAGATACTGACTGAGTAAACAGTTTACTGAGGTAAACAGAGTACCGTGTTGCCAATAGCAGACCACGCTGTCAGGAAACACATCGTGGACAAGCACACCTCCACTTCAAAAGTCCTTCTAGAGACTAAGATTAAAACATGATCTGTGCCTTCCAAACATAGAAGTCACTCTTGGCTATGAAGAACGTGGAACGTACAATAAAATAAAGTGTGCCCCGCAAGCCGTGCTGAGGGCCTAGTGTAAAGTCTTTGTTGCCAACGACAGGCCGGGGTCAGGTGACCCGCTCCGAATCTAAGAGTAGCCTAGGAAAACAGGACTAAACATTTGGCCTCCGGATGAGGGCAGAGCCCCTGCTTACAAAGCAGGCCCAGGAGAGAGCGGGAATTTCAGAAGTGCTCAATACCACAAACTGAAATTCGACTCTGAGAGAGGGACTTCCTCAAAGCTGTTTTTGAAACCTTCAAATTTATAATTGATGGCTTGTGGTTTATTTTCATCTGTCCTCTAGGAGCTAGTTTTTTAATGTTACTGAAGCTTGGCTAGAGAGCAAGGTCTGTTGTGACACTGATTTTTGACACTGGCTTGTTGGCCCTTGTGACGGCAGGGACCAAGGAGTGTTTGTAAATGTCCCTTTGTGTGTTTAAAAGCAAATGTCACCTGTCCATGCCGAGTTCTAGAACAGACACACTCATTTACACACACACACACACACACATACGTGCGCGCACACACACACACAATTTTGTCATTGACTTACCAGTTAATGAGAAAGTTAAACTCACTCACTGAAATAGATTGTTTCCCTCAGAATCGTCTATTTATTGTTAAACTATGTTACTAGATACATATGCTTGTCGCCATTATGCCTTTCCATTCATTTAATATTAAGTAATAGACCTCTCTCATTTCCACTAAGGCTTTCTGTCTAAAGTCTTATCTGTCAACGTTTTAATCTTCCCAGGTTCTTGCTAGCCTTTGATTAATATGTCTCGTTCCAGCTGCTTTGGTATCAATTATTTTAGTGTGTGTGTAAAAAATGCTTTTGTAAATATTCACAGTGGGTTTGGGCGAGTCACTTCATTACTCTGTCTAGATTTCATACTCTCTGTTCCTCTTGCTTTGCTAGCTCTTTTTGCCCTCCTTCTTAGGATCTAATTTAATTCTTTTTATTCGTTATCGTTTTACGTGTACAGGTAGGTGCCCCCTCTCTACATGCCATGTGCCGCGTGTGTGCAGTACCAGTGGAGACCAGAAGAGGTCATCGGATTCCCTGGAATTGAGAGCTACCAAGAGGTGTTGGGAATGGAACTTGGGTCCTCTGCAAGAGCGGTCAGTGCTAACTCTTAGCCACTGTTTTAACCCAAATCTGAACTGTTTTTATTTTTATTTTCATCCCCTCTCCTACTGCTTTGGCCACTTCCGTGCCATTTCTCTTATTTCTTGTTACTATTTTAAATATGCTTAAAGTTTTATCATCAAAGTTCTCTTTCTTTCCTGCCTCCCAGCAATAAAAGGAATGTAGAAAGCTACATTCCAACCCCTTCTCCTATATGATAGCACTGTCATTCCACCTGTTCCTACCCACATTCCAACCCCTTCTCATACATGATAGCACTGTCATTCCACCTGTTCCTACCCCCACCTAGGAGGCCATGGTGGTTATTGACACAACCCTGAATACAGGATTCCCAATGAAGGACTGTCTTTGTTGGGTTGGCCATGAGTGCATCGTTGAGAGACTGTGTTAATTGACTGGTTGATTTGGGAAGTCCCAGCCACCTTCAGGCAGCAGCATTCCCTAGGCAAGCGCTCCTGAACTGTACACCAGTGGGAAAAGAGTACTGAGCATAAGCAGGCAACTCAACATGCTACATGTATGCACGTGACAGCCATCACATGCTCCTGCCACTGTAACCCGGGATTGTTTTGAGAAATAAGCCCTCTCTCTCCTAAGTTACTGTTGACACAGCAGTGTAAGGACAGAGAGTATGTTTGCTACTTTGTACCCATCCCTCTTCAGATTTACGCTTAACCAGCTTTTGGCTAAAGGACCATTTTAAAAACTTTATTCCCCAAAGTGAGGGACAGCTAGCAACTTTGGCTTGCGAATCTATTTTTGCCCTCAATTTATATAATAAATTAGACGAATTCTACAGTTTCCTGTGTATTCCCACAGTGGTTCTCCTCTTCATTTAGAACTACTTAGAAAAGGCCACTGCAGAATCTCATTAATTCAACAGACTCCACACTGTGCTATCCCCTAGCTCTCCGTGGGTGTTTTTACTGGTGTCCTATGGAATTAAGAGTTTACATGGGAGTCACACAACACCGGGCTAGAATTCTGGCTTTCCACAACGCTGGCTGGAACATCTAGGGCAACTCTCTTGGCATCATGAGCTTTTCTTCCTCAGCAGAGTGAGAACAATGAATATTCCCCACATCATTATCATGGCAGGGCTTGACAATCATGTGTGTGTACACAGTAGGTGGCAGATTGACAATCATGTGCATACAGTAGGTGCCAGCTGTCATCATTCTATTTTGTAAAGTTGCAGTCTTAGATATGACCCCATGCCATTTCCTCAACCACCACCAGCTGATAGCTTCACAGATAAAGTTAACCCTGACTTCAGGGTTTCAGTTCTCATTTGTCTGGTGGTTTAGTTGGTGGGGTTGGCACAGCAGGAGTTCAAACAGGAACATGACATATGAGCAAGGTCATCAAGAGAGCTTGGTGGGGGTGACAAAGGCAGATGGAAGACTGATTATAGGTTTCTTTTTTTTTAACCAATTTTTTTTTTTGCAGACCTGGGCATTGGCTCTGACCCCTACTCAGCTGTGTGTGTGACTCTGGGACAGTGTCTTCATCTCTCTGAGTATTTATTTTCTCATGTTCAAAGGAAGAGCTTGGACTGTGATTTCAAATCACCTCGTCATGACCCCTGATTCCTACGTAATAAGTGACAATTACCATCTGCTCAACAGGTAGCCTTTACTGTCCCTACCTGCAGCTCTGGTGATGAGGACACCGTGGGCACCTTGCACAACTTACAGTCTAGTCACACGCAGCCTCATAAGTAACAAATGCTGGTGTAGAGCCATCAGAGGCCAGGAGGGGATTTCTAGTCCTCATCACCTGTCTGCTTCCTGGTCCAGCTTATCGACATCACTCTCAGGGAGAGTCATGTCAGTCCTAAGAACTCCAAACCCTGTCACATGAAGCCACCGGGGAGTCCCCGTAATCAGCTATCGCCTTCCGGGGCCTGACTCCAGTAGAGCTCACTCAGCCTTTTCACAACACTCTGGAAGACTCTGGGCTGCTGAAAGTCAGAGTCACAACCGTAGAAGGCAGGCGGTCAGGTCTGCGGAGGATTCCGGGCTGCGGTAAGCATTACCTCTCCCATAAAACACTTTTTAATTGTTTCCCCCCATTGCGCTTTTCATCTTGACTACTGGGAAGCTCAACGCCACACCAGGGGCTTCACAATAGCATTTTTTTGGCTGAACCTGTCATGGGCATGACTTCATTCTTGCATGTGTATTTTTAACAGTGCGGCAGGCACTGAATCTGAATTTTTGGCGGATGGGTAGTTTGGGTCACACATCTCTGGTCTATAGCCAGTGGCTCTTGAAGCATCTCAGGTCTGTCTCGGATCTGTTTTAAAATTAAATGTCACCGTCTCTACTTGCTTCTGCGTACACACTACGGAGTGAAACAAAAGTGGGATAGGAAATGGTCACATGCCGTAAAGAGAAGCAGCTTGCTGGAGAATTAAGCACGTACACGGGAAGGGCTTAAAAGAGGTCTTGAAGGGTGAGCAGAGTTTGTTAGCAAAGGAAGGAAGAAGGGTAGGTGTAGGGCACAGGCCCGGGGGGGGGGGGGCTGAAGACAAGGGCTGTGCAGCAGCGTGCCTGGGGGGCCGGGGTGCGGGGGGGGGCAGATGCTCAGGGACACAGAGGAGGCTGAGACGAATGGCGGAGGCTGCAAACGGATTGCGATAGCTGATAGCTACAGACGGAAATTTCACCACCTCTCTTTCACACTGCCCCCTCCCCCTTCCCCTCTCCCTCCCCCCTCCCCTCCCCCGCTTTGCTCGGATAGTCCACAGTGCTCTTCGGAGTCATTAACTTGAGCCATCACAGGCTCTCCTGTCACCCAACCAGGTGAGCGCAGCTACCTCAGCACTTTTTTTAAAACCTTCTCCAAAGAGACTGGTGTATGAGTAGCGGATGCTCAGTGCACCCTTCCTGGGCGATCCCAACATGGAAGGGCTGGTTAAAATACAATGCCGGGGCTCTTCCCACCATGAGTGTTTGGAGATGGAGGAGAAAAAGACAACAGTCTCATAGGCGTCTTTGTCCGTGGGGATGGAACCCAGGAAAAACTTAGAGAATGCAGGGCAAGGGAAGACATGGGTGTGGCCACTCAGTCTCCCAGATACTGGTATCAAAGGGATTGAGCTGATTGTCTTAAAAACAAAACTAAAATGTGGGGATGGGGTGGGGGCGGGGAGAGTTGTTTGAACAGCTCAACATTTCAGCACCTATTTTAGGGAATAAACAAGAAGAAAAATCTCTCAAAAATGCCATAAACTGCTAAAGCCAGAGGTCCTGTTGCATTTGCTCAGCATTTCGCAACTTTTAAGAATGTAGTGACGACGGTGACTGTGCCCTCCTCTGTACTGGCACACTCTGGCATACACCACCAATAATGACATAGCAGCCTCCGTTCCACAGACTTTTGAGAACCACAGAAGCATGCCTTGGTGTGGTGGTGGCACAAGCTTTTAATATTAGCACTTGGGAGGCAGAGGTAGGTAAACCTCTGAGTTTAAGGCTAGCTTGGTCTACAGAGCGAGTTACAGGATAGCCAGGGCTACACAGAGAAACCTTGTCTCAGAAAAAGAAAAAAAAGAAAAGTAAAATGACAGAATCACACCCATGACACAGGGGTGCTGTCCTTCATGGCAGACACTCATGAGATGCACAGTGTTCATACTGTCTAGAGTATCAACTCCATACGTAGTGGGAATCTGCTCTTTCTGTACACTGATCTGTGGCCACAGCCTTGGAAGCACCTGGAAATCAGACTTCCGAGTTAAACCCACTAGATTTGTGCTGCTGTTAGGAAATCTGAGCTGACACCAAATGCAGACTAGGGAACTCAGAACCATCGCTCTGGGTCTTAGTCAACGCATCACCTGAGCTGGTCAGCACTTTGTCATGGAGCGGGCTTTGGTTTGGTGATTTTTCTAGTGCAGGTGTTCCCAGCAGGCTTAAAATGAGGAGGCTGAGCTAGTCTGTCTACTGGAGGATTGTAGCAAATGTATTGGCTACCAACAGTATCTCAAGTTATAATGAACTGATCGGTGTGCAACCTCATAGCAAGTAGAGGAATGTACACATGTTCATGTTTACACAGATAACCATGTGAGCCACATGTATACCACATGATTGCATGGATGCCATGCATACCATGTTTACACAGATTTCATGTGTAGCACATGTCTACATGGATACCATGTATGCCCCATGCTTACACAGATACCAAGTGTACCACACATGGGTCTCCCTTTGGGCAAAATTCTCCTTTTGCCCACATACCTCACTCCTCTACTGTAAAGCCGAGTCTATCCTGCTTTTGTATATGTCTGTACACACAATATTTCTTAAATTCATTTTGGCATTCTTAAATCCAATTATGGCATATCCATGCTTACAGACATGCCTATGATTACTCCTCACGGATATTTTCTGAGCTTCTTAGCTCTTGAGTGGGTCTCAAGGTCAAAGCTAATGGAGTAACTTTTCAAAATGAACTCCAAGTCCGATGGTTCTAGAGAGCAGAGTAGCCAAGCCCTCCATTTGAACTCAGTTTTAGTCTCAGTCTCTGTCTCTCCCTCCCTCCCTCCATTTCTCCCTCCCCCCTCCTTCTCTCTCTTTCTCTGACGTGAATGTTAGCATGTAGTGATGTAGAGAGCAAATTCTTGAGAGCAATTAAGACTTCAGTTCACATTGCTGGGTACCAGACACTACTCTAACCAGCAGGAATCCCAGGAACTAGCCTCAGGTCTGGAGAGTTCCATGTGTGTAGAGCTCTCCACACCCAAAAGTGCCGGGTGAGACATCTGGAAAACCTGTGCTTCTGCTGAAGGGATGGATACAACAGCTTCTCTCTCTCTCTCTCTCTCTCTCTCTCTCTCTCTCTCTCTCTGTGCGTGTGTGTGTGTGTGTGTGTGTGTGTGTGTGTGTGTGTGTGTGTTCATCCGTGGACACACGAACACACATACCTGGAGCTTGACCAATAACTGAAAAATCCACAACTTGCAAAACCGTCCACAGCTCCCCATCTTACCAACACCATTAACCGAATAACTAACTGCCTGCATCGGCGTGAAGCAACCCAAGGAGGGAACAGCTGAAAGTAAGCTTCCCTCAGAATGAAGAAACAGCCCCGGACCCCCATGCAAACTGGAGCCCATCTGCAGAAGCGTGCTTTGGCCTGACCAGACATCACTGGGCGAGTGCCTATGAATAAGAACCGCCAACACCCTGACTTGACCAGTCCGATTCCTCGCCCCATGCTCCTCTGTGGAAAGCCCCTCCCCCCCATGTCTGGCCTCACCTCACTGGAAAAGACCTTGATAACATCGAAGCACCGCGATGAGACCTCAGCAATACAAGATGGCCCAAAGCAGCAACACCCACCGTGACTCTGTGAGGACGAGATGGGTGTTTCGGGCGGAACTCTGCTCTGCGTGGTCCTCTATCTTCTTGTTTGTTTTGTTTTAAATTTAGAAAATAAGTTTATTGATTGTCTGGATTACATTATAAAACTACCTTTGACGCTGACTAAAGCTTGCTAATTGTCCCCTCTGTCCCAGGGATGGAGAAGAGGCCTCCCTTCTACTGTATACAATCTCTCTATCACTAAGCCACACCCTTGACCCACAGTTTACTTCCTAAGTCTGACTCCTGGAGGCGGCCATGCTTCTTAGAGTCACAGTGCCTGTGTTACAGCTGATGTGGGAGACACACCTTTGCTCTCCTGCCCCACCCGCCCAACCACCACCTCCCTAGCTCTAAGGTCTCTCTGCTTAGCCTTGGCTGGCCTGGAACTAACTCACGACGGTAACTGGCCTGTTACACGACTAAAACTCTGTTTGCCTCCGGTGAAGTAATGAAGGTTTTCAGGAGGAGGGCAGAGGCGGGTGGGCTGGGGTGGGCTCCCAGTGGCTTCCTGCTTCCTCCTGGTCACGCCCAGCCACGGCACCCTTGTCCTTCCATCGGGCTCGGCTGTAGCAGGCACTTATCAACAACAGAGCCCGGGACCGTGGCAGAATGAACTCAGGCAGTACCCTGGTCAGCCCAGGTGCAAAGGACCCCTTTAAAAGAAAGACCCCCGCCCACGCATGCCCTCCTTTCTGCTGCTCCGCTGGGGCAGACAGGACTTTTCCTGTCTCCCTCTTCCCTTCTGTCCTGTCTGTCTCTGTCTCTTTGCCTCTTTTCTCTTTCCTTCCCCCTCCCTCCCCTTTGTAGTAAAACTGATCATTAAGCTCTGTCTGCCTGGCATGTTTTGCCCTCTGCCTCGGCCACCCTCGCCTGCCGTGGAATCCACCGAGGTCCCCTCAAGCTATATCCTAACACATCTTCCAACAGATACCTAAGGCAGCTTTGGCCCCTTCCTAAAGGCACATGGGACTTCCACGCTGTGCCCCCTGACAGTCGTATTACATGTGTTAAAGCAAGGCACATCCCTCAAGGAGGACCCCAGTGGCTTGATGGCATCAAGTCATCTTTCTGGTCTGCTTGCAGTGACACACCCCATTCAGTGACGCATTCCCTAGACAGGTATTTTGAAGGAGTCTCTGGATGCTAAATTCCCCTGAGGACAGAGCAAGGGAGGTGACAGAGAAGATGACATCACACATAGAGGAGCTTGACCCTGCTCTCTACAGCTCTTCACGGAGATGAGTGGGGAGCTGGGCTCTAGGGCGAGGGAGAGCAGAACTTGTGCAAGCTTCCCATGCACACCTTTGACCGCCCTGACAAGGAGCGTAGCCCGTAGTAGACGCCCTTTGTCCTACTACCAGTCCTTGGTTAACACCCAGAGCGCCCTGGAGAAAGCGCTCCAATTCCAGAGAGTGAGTGGAAGGACGATGACCACGAGACAGATTGACATGGGGCTGGGTGACTTGGGGTGGAGCAGAGAGCAGCCCCAGGCTGGAACGGTGGGCATATTGTCCCTGACAGTAGAAGACAGAGATGGCCCGTCTCCCCTGGAGGGAGTGATTTGTTAACCGAGTGACATTCCAAGACCTCTGACCTGCGGGCACGATCACTCTGCGCTCGCTGGTGGTCATGTTGGGGGGCGGCATGTGCTTCTCCTCCATGTAGCTGCCGTAGCTCATCCCCACGGCGTCCGGGCTGCCCACCATCTTCCCACCCTTGGTCACACTGCATTCATCAGGTGAGTTCCTGCGGGAGAAGAAGACAGATCCCTCCTGTTAGTGGGGTGCCCACCAGAGAGCGGGGCTCGGGCCTTGCCGTACATGGAGGGGGCCCCCGATGGGAGGCGGCACGGAAGACTGGCAAAGCAGTTGTGGTGGTACCCCGAATTCACGTGTTGGAGCTACAAGCCCCGCGCAACGGTCTGGAGAGGCGACCAGATTTAGCTTAGGTCATGAGGGCAGAGCCTGCGATGAAAGGATAGGATTCCGAAAGGTGGAGGACTGAGGGGTTGCCGCCTCGGTGGGTAAGTTGCCTACGCAAACATGAAGACCTGAGTTGGATCCCCAGCATCCGCTAAGCAGCCCCAGCACATGTTGTGCATGCACACGGTTCCCTGGTGCCAGTGGTCAAGCCCATCGGTGGGCTCCGTGCCTCGGGAAGGGACGCCTGTCTCGGATCCTACGGTGGAAAGTGGCCGAGAAACCCACTCCGACCTCCCCAGGCATACGCGTGAGACAAACAAATGGGAAGAAAGAGGAAGAGATCCCCCCTAACTCACACACACACCCCGCATTGCCTCACTCCCTCCATGTGAGGACGAGGCCGCCATTAACCCAAGGGGGGAGCCCGTGGGTTAGTGGACACAGAGCAGCTGTCTGTCACCTCGGCCTCAGCCGTGCCCTCGTCAGAACTGAGGGAGTCACTCCTGTCACTTCAGCCCGGCAGCCTGCACGGCTGGCTGAGCCCATGCTGGAGCCCACGCTGGGGAGAAACAGAGCACATAAGCAGGCAGCCACACTGCTGTCTGGCTTCTGTATGTGCTAGCCAAGTCCCTCTGAAACTGTCATGTCCAGACTCCCTCTGTGACAGCTGACTGGGAACACTGGCAGGGAACAGAGAGCGGCAGCAAAGAGGGCCAGCAGCAGGCAGACGGCTTCTTCTGAAGCCTCTGTGAAAATCCCCTCTTGGGTTCCCATCCCTGCACCAAACACAGGATCCGCAGTGCCGAGGATTGCAGCCAGGGGGGCCGAGGCGCAGTCAGGAGAAGGTGGGACACTGAGGTGAGGGAGGCAGCTGAAGAGCCGAGACCAGTGGCCTGAGAGAACCCAGAAAGTGACCTGAAAATGGAGCGTGTCTGAGGCCAGCTGTCCCCCACCGACCCTGCAACCATTAGTGAGGCAGTCACTGTCTTTGCAAAAAAGAAAACAAGCCTTTCTAGGAAAAGACAAAGTGTTTTGTGTGTGTGTGTGTGTGTGTGTGTGTGTGTGAATTCATGTGTGAGTATGCATGTGTGAGTATGCTTGTGTGAAAGTGCATGTGTGAGTGTGCATGTGCGAGTGTGTATGTGTGAGTATGCATGTATGAGTGTGCATTGTGAGCATGCTTGTGCGAGTGTGCATGTGCCAGTGTGTATGTGTGAGTATGCATGTATGAGTGTGCATGTGCATGTGCGCATGTGTCAGTGTGCATTGTGAGCATGCATGTGCGAGTGTGCATGTGTGAGTGTGCGTGTGTGTACACTATGTCTGAGAGCTATAGGAATCAGGCCATATAGATAAACACCAAGTAAGGAAACCAGTATAGGAGCTGGAGAGACGGCTCAGCAGTTAAGGGCACCGGCTGCTCTTGCAGAGTACACCCAAGTTCAGCTCCCAGCAACCACATGGTGATTCACAGCTGTCTGTAACCCCTGCTTCAGGAGATCCAGTGCCCCCTTCTGACAGCTAAAGGCACCAGGCGTGTACACACATGCGTGCACCCAAAACATACATATACATAAAATATAAATACTTTCTAAAAAAGAAGAAATTCACCTTCGTTAGAGAGCAAAGAAATATATGGCTGTCTTCTCAGATGGCTGACCTAAAGATGATGGCTAGTTAGCCCATGGATGATGGCTAGCCCAGGGATAATAGATTATAGTTACACTACCCAACAGAGGAAGGATGGTGGCTAGCCCACAGATGGCAAACCCTGGATCACCACAGCAGTGGAGCTCTGTGATCTGGTTACATTAACTAAAGCTGAATTTTGGAAACACCTCTGAAGTCTACCCAGCACATGGATTTGGTGTGGTTTGGTTTCCATTTTCCACATTCCTGGAAATCTTAGACACCCCAAGGACTCTTCTTGACCTTAGATTTTCCATCTAGTGTTGGGGAAGACTTTGATCCCACCTCTGTGCAGCCTTTGTTTGTCTCCTCCAAGGCTTGTCAGCTGCAGCTTTGCAGGTAACTTGTAGAGTCACAGACCTTCATGTTTGCAGTGGGCTTGACCTTCGAGTTTGAGAAGGGCAAAAGCACGTAAGGCCTGTGTGTGTGTGTGTGTGTGTGTGTGTGTGGCTATTTTCTGAGCAAGACAGAACTCACATGCAGTACTGAAATTCATTTCTCTTCCAGAGGCCTTGACAGAACTGTTCAAGCAAGCAAACAACACAATTGGACAGCACTTAACAAAGTTACTTTGTATTCAATTTTATAACCTGCAGGCATAATTCATGTTAACAAGTTTCTAATCCCATCCTCCATGGTAGGAAAGACTAAAATGAAACCATTAGAACCACTTTCAAAACCTGCATCTCTAGAACAATAGATAAAATACATGATGTTTTATCCTATTACGCTTGGTTGTTAAAGAAGACAGGATGAGCCATGATTTTGACCATTATCATTTTTCAATAACTAAAGAAACACTTAACTCTGAGAGGATAGATGTCAGTACTCGGGGATCAGTACTGGACTGTCCTTGGGGTTCTGACAGGATATACCCTCAGCTGCAGCCACTAAGAGCACCACCTGTGCGCATTCACTATGTTCCCTTTTAAAAGGGCCCTGCCCACCTCCCATTCTTCTCTCTCTCTTTCTCTTCCTTTCTCTGTTTCATGCTCTCTCTCTCTCCCTCTCCTTTTTCCTCTCTCTGTCTTCCCCTCTGTCTTCTCCCCTACCTCCTCTCTCCTGCTGATCCTATATCTGGAGGCTGGTCTCCCCCCCTCCCCTTTCCCCTTTTTATGATCCCTTTCCCTAATTAAAAGAAAACCATGTACTTGAACCCTTTCTGATGGCATCTTTCTCGCGGGTGCGCTACTTTTCTTAAATTGCAACAAAATGTCCATCTTGCACGATCCAGTTCCCAGGGAAGCTTTTCAAGAAACACCGAATAGGTGGAGTTGCTCTAGTCTCATTAGCATCTTGTCCTTTGTAATCCCTTAGAACTTGTCATAAGAAGACCTGGCACTGGCATGTGTGGGACTCTGCCTAGCGGCAACCCATCCTCACAATAGCTCAGCAGACGTCACCTCCATCTTACAGAGGTAGGGAGCACACAAGAAAACAAGGCGGGCTGGAGAGGTAGCTTTAGTGGCTAGGAGCACTGGCTATTCTTCCATAGGACCAGGGTTTAATTCCCAGCATACACATGGTTCCTGGGAACCATCTGTAACTCCAGTCCTGGGGGAATCTCATGTCCACTAGCTTCCTTGGACACTGGGCACACAAGCAGTGCACAGACATACACACAGTGCAAAATACCTATACACGTAAAATAAGATGGCGGTGGGGGAGGGGTAGAGATGCCTTGAAGAGACAAATTAGACAACACAGTGGCCTGAACTCAGCACCATGCCTCTTCATCTGCAGAGGACACCTGCACAGAGTGAAGGGACGAGGCTCTACTCTGAAGGACAAAAAAATCTAAGGTAGACCAGAACTCCCTGGGTCACGTGTTACTGTCGCTTTAAAGTCTGCACTGCAACCCTGGCATGCTGTGCTAGCTGGTGATCTAATCACTCCCTGACACAGCCCATACACACACAACACGGACACACATAAGAACCAGAAGCTAGGAAACCTTTGGCAAAGTCATGCACTCACAAACTACTTTATTTTAAGACAAAGAAATCTCACACGGACCAGAAACAGGAAACTATGCCTTTAAGCACCTTACAGAGCCTGGAGAGACATCTCAGCGTCTCAGCGGTTAAGAACACTGGCTGTGCTTCCAGAGGAATCACAGCAGGCAGAGCACAGCCAGGCATAAGTCCCATCCCAGGGAGTCTGACAACTCTTCTGGCTTCCATGGGCACACGCATGTACACACACACACACACACACACACAGCACAGACTTGTACAGACACACACACATACACATAAATAAAAAATAAATCTTGAGCTGGGCGGTGATGGCTCATGAACTCAGGAGGCAGAGGCAGGCGGATCTCTGTGAGTTCAATGCCAGCCTGGTCTACAGAGTGAGTTCCAGAACAGCTCCCAAAGCTACAGAGAAACTTTGTCTCAAAAAAACTAACTAACTAACTAATGGATTTTGGAAAACATAGTTCTACCGTTCTCCAAGCGAGCTTACCCTGTCCCCAAGTGCCGAGGGACTGTCTCAAGAAGCAGCAGGGTCACAGATAAACCACGCAGAGATAGGATGGCTTGCCCAAAGCTACATGACCAGTCCTAGAAGAAGCGGCATTTAAACCCTGATATCCAAGGTCCTGAATTCAAGCTCTTTACCAGCGCACGCTACAACCTCACTGGCACATCCACAAAAGCAAGACGTGGTTGCGTGGATGCTCAAGAGACTATCTCTCCAAAGACTCTCCTTCTGGAAATGGAGCTGGCTGGTGAGGACACATGACTGTGTTGACTGAGTGGGGAGCGCCCACATGGGAGGTAGGCGGGGCTTCTAAGAGCACTCCCAAGGAGGCCGTGCCTACGTGGACACACACAGGGTCTTGGGGTTTGATTGAAAGGTCACTTGGCACTGCAGCTGAAGGTTGCATGTTAGTCCCTAGACGTTTTGGGAGGCGTTCTGCGTGGTGCGTGTCCCACAGCGGTGATGGATGGGCATAAGGGCGACAGAGCTGAGTGGGGGTGGACCTGACTCAGATCATCGACTGGTGTGAAGAGACGGCCGAGGACCAGGGCAGACAGCAGACCACTGGGAAATCGGTTGAGGACCACGACAGACAACAGGCTGATGGGAAAGTTGTTGACCAGATTTTTAAGACCTAGCGGCGTGTAG